AGGATTTAAACAAACATCAAATTGTTTTAGAGAAGCTATGCACTAACTTGACTCTTTTGCATGAGGAAAGAGCTTTTTCTCCCCACTTCCTTCACCCAGTGTTGCACTGGGAGCAGATATAGGATGGGGCCACCAACTAGTGCTGTTTGGACACAGGATTTGAGCATAAGAAATCCCATGGCATGTCACTACAGTTTAGGCAGCGACATGTCATTCAGTTCTGAATTAAAAAAAAACGTTACTAGAAAAGTTTTCAGCTGTAACCTGTATTCACCCCTCCTCTCCTGGAACTGAATCCAGCATGGATGGCTGGGATAAATAAGGGATTTGAGAGAGATGATACCAAATGCAAAACCTATTTTATGTTAATACAATAATGTATAAGATTTTGGACTTCATGGATAGGTAGTTGTACAACAAAACATTACGATGGTCCTGCGTCATTAATTATCACTTTTAGTCATCATTAATATATTAAAAAAAAAGAACCAAAGCACTTGCAAATCTTGCTTTACTTTTACACTGCCAAGGCATGGTCTATCAAAGCAGACTAAAGACTTTGAGTCTCTGTGCTGCTTCTGCAGTCATGAAGTTTAATGGACTTTCGCGGGAGTTCGGTACACAAGCCCGGGTGATGGTCAAGCTGTGCCAGTTACTCCTTTCAAGGTGTGAGAGTAGTTGGAAGGCTCAGTGGATCAGCAATGGAGTATGTCAAACCTTTTAACTATAGTCACCAGCTTAAATTCAGTCTGCTTATATCACCACCTTTAGCTGTGGCTTCTGTTCACTACGCTTTTTGCTAGGATATCACATAAACCAAATGCCTTGCTAGTAAATTATAATTGGAAGGTCAGGAATGTTGCTTTTTACACCATCTTCCTGCAGGTTCTTGAAGTGCAAAATGTGATATTTATCTATTGTAAAAGTTATATACAGAATAAAATCTTAAGTTAATATATGCATAACTCTACCTACCTAACTTTTTACAGGTGAGCTTTGGGTTTTGCCAGAATTTCTCTCTTTGATTCAATCTTAGTAGTCTAACATGTTTGGCCTTTAATCAGACTGTGGACACAAGATGTTGAATTTTTTTTTTTTTGAAACAACTAAACTACTACTCCCACAGTTTATGCAGCAATTTACTGTATCTACCACAGAGAACTTTTGTCATTGTCACACTGTTGCACAAATATTAAACAATTATACGAATTATATGAAGCATCTGTTTTATGTTTCTCACAGAACGATCATCGTGGGGTGTCCTAGTCATTTTGCAAATAGAGAAGGAATATTGTAGAAATTATTTGGAGGCCATTTTCTGAAAATGATCTTCAAAGGACAGTGCTAACCAGATTTCTTTTTAGACTAATTTCTGCATTGTTCCAGTAAATAAGTCAATCAAAGTACCATAGCCAATATTCTAATCCCATCCACAAATACTTTACAACTTAGTATGTTATGATAAAGCTTGCAAAACAAAATTAAATTAGTAAGGGCTTAGAGTCAGATTGACTCAGAAGCTAAAGGTCTCTTGGATTCAGATTCCCACCTCTTTCAATAGGTACCGGAACCATGGCCCAGGTTTTTATCTGCAAGGACAGACAACCTGAAGGAAAGTGGAAAAAATCCCCACTTCAGTCCCATTTTCTTTGAAGGAAAAAATACACAACTTTGGTCGTGACTGCCACCTCTGATGGCAAAAAAACTTCCACAAACAGTTAAAAAAAATTTCATGGACACATTTTCTTTTTTGGCTTAGAAGAATAGACCTTTATGCTTTTCATAACAGACTGCTTTTCTCAAGGGTTCTCTGTTCCTTCCTTTTGTGTCTCTAATCAAGGCTTCACCATAACAGTCCAAAATCAGATTTCACACACAAGCTAGACTGATGAACTGGTCAGCACAACGCAGACACACGTACCAAAATCTTTCAGATACTACCTAATGTTAAATCTACTGCACATCGTATTAATGCTCAGAAGTTCTGGAAGTTATGTTTTGGCATACTGTTTAGGTAGACCTTCTCATGCAAAAAAGGATGTCTGAAACAACCGAGAACACTGACTGACTGACATCCTGTTGGACAATGGACAACACAAACTTCTCCGTAATTCTAAAAAACAATGGTAATGACGTTCTGAAACTCTTATGATCAAAACAAGCTTATGAAAGCCTATCAAGTTTGCTGCAGCAAAAACAAATTAATAAGAAGTGGGTTTTTTTTAAATATCATTTGCTTTATGCAGAAAGGAAGATATCCCACGACAAACTTCCAAGGTGTAATACAAACCATAGAAACGTCAAAAAGCTAAACAAAACAAAGCAGGTGACCATATTTTTTTCTAAATGCTGCCACAAGTTTCTTATTAACCAGAATGTAAAGTTCTTCTCATCAGGAATAAGGCCATGAAACCGAGCCTCTCTTCCTCATACTTGCTGGCACTTGGTTGACAGGCAGGAGAATACTGAGTTAAGGTGCATTTATCTTCCCATTTTCATAAACACTTTTCTAATTTTGATGGCACCTTAAAGCTTCCGTCATTTAACCCACAAACATACACTGTTCTGAAGACTGACAAACCTTTTAGACAGCAGAGATAAAACCTCTCTTGGACTAGCAGGTTTAGAAGTCCATCTCAATAAAGATATCTACGATCTGTTCCTGCCATCAGCTAAAAGAAAAGTACCTTTTAGAATAAATTAACACTTTACTGGCAGATGGGAGGAGCTCCTAATGAGACTAAACAGTTCATTTACGTAAGATAATTTATTAAGGAAAAATGTGTAACATTCATAATCTGTTGTTTCCCCCACAGCAGCTTAAAGGCAAACAGAAGCTACCCTGCATTTCTTCCCACCTTTCCTTATGTTTTGAAAATCCTCCATTTGAAGACTTCATGCAATTGTTGAAGTTTTTGAAGCATCTTTTTTATGAATCATGCTCACCCTATCAGATCTGCATGGATGGACCCTCATGCCCTACAAGCCCTATTGAAGTTGCTGTCCTGAGAAGAACTGAGAGTGAAAATTACTGTACTACAGCCCATCATATTATACTTACCCTAGAGCCTGAACCAAAAAGACTCCTGAAGACTTTTATAGGCCTTAGATTAGACCCTCACGTTGCAAACTCTCTGTAAGAAGGCTGTTTTGTATATTACAGTATCTTTATCAAGATGTTCACATACAGTTTAGTCCTGTGAGGCCATCAATACCCTCCAATGTCACTGATTCCAAGAAGAGTTAAGAGCACAGAGCATCTTGCAGGATAGTCATTTAGTAAGAAACTCCTTTTATTTTCAGAAAAAAATGTATTGCCTTTCTACTTCCCCTTTCTCTCCAAAGGATAGAGGAAGAAATCAGTTTCAATGTCATCACAGAAACTTGTTTTCTTTTCTCTGGTCATGTAACTTCCATACCCATTTGGTCAGCTATCTCCTTCTTACCTGTATTCCCCAGACTGATTATGCCACAGGCAGCATAAAGCTGTGCTTGAACACAGATTTAACCAGAAAGGTCTCAGATAAGCAGTGTTTCAGAATTGTTTTGTGTACTGTTTTCAAATTAGCTTATCCCACAAAAATTAGTAATATATTATAAAATGAGCAAGTTAGTAAGGTAGCAAGTGACTGTGATGTGGTAGAGTAAGTATAAGGCAAACAGCTCACCATAGCACAAGTGCTGGACACATTGCCAGGGGTCTATACATGCTTCGAGAGCCTGATTTGCTATATCACTGCTGGTAATACACTGTGCTGAGGTGACAAGGTCCGACTGAAGCGTGGATGTTCCACTAGGATCACAGTGGAATATAACGGCATGGCTGGTACACTGAGCAGCAGCGGAGACATCCCTGCTACATTACGTGATGTGGCAATGAAAAGGCTAAAAAGCTCAGCAGCAAAATCTTCCTTTCACCTATGGAAGTTTCGCAATTATCAGATTGAGGCACTAGATCACTAGAAACAATTGCAAAAACAAGTTCTACTTTTTGCATTACCAAGACCATTTACCTTAAACAACATTTCGAGTAGTCTGATATTTTTCTGGTATCTTTTCCATTTTTGCCTGAAAAACTAGATATTACTTCTTGCTTTTTTTCTTAAAAAAGGAAAAAGTTTTGCCCTCTTAAATTAAGTTACTGTTTTTTCATTGAAAAAAATCTGAACTACTTGCTAATCATGGAAGTTGCAGCTTTCCTTGGAAAGAAGTGTATCAAGCATTCATCACTTTTAAACACATAGGTATAAAGTTATGTGAGTGTTAATGTTATTCTAATTTCTCATCCTTAAAATAAACTAGACAATCCCAGCTTTGCTCTCTATAAATAGAAGGCCCTTAGGCATGCAAAGAGGTTATTCATAGCAATAAAATAATTAATAGCAGTCTAAATTTGGAATCAGTCTATTAAATACAGTTTTAAACTATTTCTCTGTTAGTCTAACTGGCGAGCATACCATATATTCTCACCTTTTCAACCCATTATCTTGCCACTGTTACTCTGGGGCCTGCATTTTGAACAGCCAGGAACGGTGCCCTGCAAGCTGATGTGTCCTGTGATACTTCTAAAATTAAATACGCAGTTGCTAGATAAATTAAGGTCTGACCTTGTACAACTGTAACATAAGCAGACTCGACCCACAGGAAAGTATTACACATGACTTCTCTAAAATCCTGTCAAATGTAACACGAGGTCTGGATGGTATAATAAGATTATCTGTGCCCTCATTGGTTCAACAACTCTCATTAAGAAAATAAATTACTTGCCAACTTAGTCTCAAGGGCTACATTAACAAAATCTGGTAACATATTTACATAAATTAAAACAAATCTGAGAACATCTAGCTTTTAACTAGTTGTAGACCCCACCATATTACATCACCAAACACGAATCTCTCTGAGGCTGATACGATGCAAAGCTTTACAGATTCAATGACACAGATTATAGTATTTATTTTACTAGATTTAATAACTTGAAATTGGACAAAGAAGCAGGAGGCATGGCACCACAGACAGCAGGGATGCAAAAGCAGAATAACCGAAGAGAAACATCAAGAATAGTAGTACCCGGTAAGTTAAATCACAAACATGGGATGAAAAAGAAGCTGGATTTTTTTTTCCGCTCTGGCTAGACATACATATCACTGATGCAATACTTCTGTCTTCTTTTGGTTTTAACCAGTCGGTTACTATCAGTTACCAAAATGAACAGACAAAAAGGGAACATAACAAACTGAAACAACAAACTTCCAACTTATCTTTAATTGTTCTGATGAAATGAAATTGTACACTGTGAACTCTCCCGTGCCCCATGATTCACTTGCATTTATAGAACCATAAAATTGTAAGCTTAACTAAGGCACTACATGCATCTCATCTTTGGACACAAGATCAAGAAAACCATTTAATGATGATGATAATATTCATTGCAACTTTTTTTGCCAGTGCGACCTAAGAAAGTGTGGCGAGCCTCCAAAAAAAAAACAAGTACAACAAAAGCAGACAAACAGGGCTGAGATCCTGCCCTACTGTTGGCTAAGACCTGATAAGAACAGAAATATATTCTTATATAATATCTAAAATATATATTTATAATATATATAAAGAACACAAATGTTTTAATTGCTTACCTTGAGTTCTTTCATTTCCTTTACACAACCAGGATATTATCAGAACTAGTACATATCCATATTACAAGCACGGTATTGCTTTGCTTTTCAGATCTTTTTAATACTATTTTGCATTGCTATGTAAACAGTGTCTGATTCTGATCTTACACAGTTACTAGTTATAAATCCATCAGTCAATTATGTTCCATGCATGTAAAGCGAGAATAAATAAGGCTCTTGTCCAGATACCAAATCATACGGCAATTTGCAAGACTTCACAGCGAGATAAATTCATTGGTGAGACAAAAAAGGGAAGAGAGGTCACAGCTATAGCAAGGCCCTCTTAGGGTGCCTACGCACTGTATATTAACACACAGGATAATACTCCTAACCGACTCCCCAGTGTTAAACAGATAATAAACTGTGAAATGCTATGTGGGTGGTTTGGGGTTTTTTTTTTGTTTGTTTTCAAAAATAGGTAATTATTGTATGTATTCTGACACTACTTCTTAGGTCTTAGAGTTGTTAAATTTTAAAGTATGTATTGAAACAAGAGTTTGGCAATTTAGGGAACTTCCTACTGTATCACTTCTGGATTGATTTCATGAACTGTCTCATCAACATGGGCTACTGTTTTTTACTCTTTGTACTAGGATGTGGCAAGGACACCTACATTCTTGGTTTGTCTGAACAGATGGTGAGAACTAGTGTTTTAATGACGCTAACTGAGTTAATTTGGCTAAAGAAGATCGCCAGGCACAGAACAATTTGTGCTGTGGTCTGTTAGTGTAATCAGGAGATAGATCATCTGGTTGGGCCATCACAGAGAAGGGAAAAATACAGGCATGATCCAGTAAAAAAGGCTGAAATTCTTAAAGAATGTCATTTTGATAGGAAAGAGAGATTCTCAATGCCTTGGAAAGAAAGCCCAGGTCTCTCTGCTGCTATCTCAAAGAACACTCGGGAGTGGAGAAGCAAAAACCCTGAGTTCTAATATAAACTGTATTAATCACTTTGCTTTAGTTATGGCATGGAGATAGTGCATTTAGTAGTCTTATTAAAAGACTGGCTTTCAGTGACAACTCTACAATATTCTGAAACTCGGTTTGTTGGGTTTGCTTACCAGTTATGCAAGAGCAGCCCAAGAGCACGCCAAAGGAATTATAAAGAAAAATTTGTCCAGAAAAAATGCAATATAAAGTTACAACACAATTATTCTCAAATCTTACTCACTGTGCAAAACTCACCGTGCAAAACTCACCCTTTAAATTAGCAGTGAGGCCATAAAGATAAGACTTAATACAAGGCCAACTGGATCTTCAAATGAACACCATGTTTAAACTTTCTTTTTACTGCTATTTTCTCCGACTCTATCTCAAGTCCCTTGAGTTTTCTACTTTCCGTCAGTATTTTACAGCTTTTTTTGCTTTATTAACTGATCAGATTAACTCAGAAATTACCTATTTGCCATATTCTATTACAGTGATCCTTATTTTTGATTCTGCAGTTAATTAGCTATTTTAAACACAATTTCTTGGTCAAACCAATTTCACAGCTAAAACTCACAGAAGGTATATGCATGCTTCTGCTTATTAAACAAATTCCAGAATACTTATGACTACTCCCTGAAGTAGAAAGTTATCAACCTCAGGAAGACTTGACTGATAAATACATGCACATACAACCCTTTAATACACTGATTTTGCTAATATATATATATAATATTCTAATTGTTTATAAGCTTCTGCATTATTTCTAAACTAGACCCTATTCCCAGACATAAGAATGCCTACTGTTACACACTGCATCACTCGGAAGGTATTTATTTTTACATATATGTTGCAGAAAAATAGAATTCATGTACTAGAAAATTCTGCAAACCCTAAACATACATGTTTCATGAAAGAATGACAGAAGCGGACACATATTCAAATCACATCTACTACACAAAAATCCCATCTTGAGTGGACATATACAGCTTTGTCTCCAAGTACATATCACACAAAATTGCTCTCGGCACCTGCCAAGCTGAAGCTTTAAGGCATGCCGCAATTGTTTGACTCATGAAAGGGAGCTTTGAAACCAACTCTGAACCTTGGACTCTGCAAAACATTTTGGAAAATAAAACATATCAAAAACTGTAATAGTTCTGAGAACTCATTACTGGCAGTTAGTTAGCTATCGCTCGGCAAAAATCAGTTAATTTCAAGTACTGTCACCAGCCATACAGAACACATCGAACAAATGCGTACTGAATCTTTACTAGAAACGTGCTGAAAATATAAATGCAACACACAGCACTTACGACTTGTGTGTGATGCATTTCTAGTAACACGTTTCAACAGACCGTCCCTCATTCAGAAACTTCTAAGTTCTGCAAATTGACCATAAGCCGTCTTTAGCAATTGCATGTAGACAACTTCACTAACAGAAAACGTTTGTGTTTAAAAGGGGACATTCAGATCTATGTGTCTTGTAGGTGCAGCGAAGCACGAACTGTGGCGTACTGCTATAGCACACCCAGCCCATCTAAGGGCACTGGGCTCCGAGACTTGGGTTGCCTTCGGATCGGACACCGCTCCTGAGGAAACACTGCGCACGGGCCGGGCTCTGACGGTTTCAGGGGCACGGATCTCGGAGAGCAGGCCCGGCAGCCTCCGGGGCCAGGCCAGGCCAGGCCAGGCCAGGCCAGGCCGCCCTCCGCCGAGGCTGGGCAGCCCGGCCCCACACGGGCGGCTCTGCAGCAAGGGGCTGGCCGCCTGCCCCCCACCCAGGCAGACAGGAGGCCTTCTCCAGAGGGG